ACCTGAAAATGCAGTATATGTGAGCCTTTGTTACAAAGTATGAATTGTTAATTTAATTATGGAAAACACTGATAATAAATATTTCAGAAATTAATGTTCCAGTTTGGAAAAAAACTGAGGACAAATCTTGCTTGGCTATCTGAAACACAAAATGCAGCATGTGTGGTGATGCGATATTGTAAGAAGAAATATTATAAAACAGAATCGTCTGGTTCTTCCAGCAGCAAGATACTCACAGGGATAAAATCAGAGTTATTGCTATTGCTAGTAAAATTGCTTCGGAATAAAGAAACAAAGAATAAACAAACAAATCCACTAAGCAAAAGAGATGATGTAAGAATTAAACCCAGGAGCTTCTGACCTGAACTGTTTCCAACTGTGTGGATTTTACAAAACCAAAAATTCAGATGCACAAAAGTATTTTTCAGCAGCGGGGAGGAAAGTATATGAACATTTTATTGATTGTGTACTCATTAACAATATATCACTATAAATTTGAGTTTCCTGACTACTAATTCATCTACTGAGTATATCGTTGTCATTGTTGGTAGTTTCTTTGTTGATTATATCTAATGTTGTTGTTCAGTAATTACTCCTGTTTTTTAAAAGAAAATGACTCTTTTAATGTTTTTGATATCTTGAAGGATTTTTTCTTAAAACAGTCTAATTATGAGAGTTGCTAATATTAAATTAAGCTAAAATTTTGTGTTCTTCTGTGGAACGTTTATTGTCCTTTACATACAGCATATAATGATTACGTCTCTGCAGGTGGATTCTTATATCCTTGAGTTATAGTTACCGTAACATATTCTTGGTCTAAGCCAATTTTTTGAGCTAAAATAGTGGTCTTTGCTACATAGAACTTTGAACACTTTTTTGGGGTAAAGCTTCTTGACTCTGGTAGTCAGTCAACCTCCTTACTTGAGAACAAGCATACAGAAAGGATTGAGCACCATATTTAACTTCCCAGCACAAGAAATCCCCTTCATCACTGCTCTTTCCCCCTTATTTATATGTTTCTTGTGTCATTAGCTGTTTTTGGGGAGCTGTTCTCAATCAGTAATGTTCTAGCTTCTGTATAAGTAGCAATATTCTGTAGAATTATGTGGAAATTCTCTTCAGATTTTACTCTCTACTTCTGGGTAGGAAGTACTATAGTAGTAGTTCAGTAGAAATAATTGATCTGAGTTGTAGATTATAATTGTTTGAATTGGCAATTAAAAATCAGTATATGAAAGGTATTACTGTCCAGACAGAGTCACCACTGAGGGATTGGCAGAAGAGTACTAACTGTTGTCATTTAGTTAGGAAACTTTAATGCCACATGTTTTGCTTTTCATTAGTGGCATAGTGTTACTCAAAATAGCAGTTCTTTTCTAATTTTGCTTTTAATTCTGTTATGAAAGTGAATATGGGAAGGACTTCCATGAGCCGAAAGGTATTACTGTTCAGACAGAGTCACCACTGAGGGATTGGCAGAAGAGTACTAACTGTTGTCATTTAGTTAGGAAACTTTAATGCCACATGTTTTGCTTTTCATTAGTGGCATAGTGTTACTCAAAATAGCAGTTCTTTTCTAATTTTGCTTTTAATTCTGTTATGAAAGTGAATATGGGAAGGACTTCCATGAGCAGACTGGAGAGCATGAGTTTTTTAAAAAAAACCTGGTACCTGCTCTATGCAGAAAATATGTTTGAGGACAAAATGCGTGAGAGAAACCAAAATGGTAATTTTCTGATAGTTTATCTGCAAAATATTTCTTGTCAGTATAGTAGATGGTATTAATGTCTGGTGCCGTTGGTTAAGAGTCTTGTCGTCTGGAACTTACACTCGGAAACACTTTCATTTTCTTTTCTTCATCAATAGAAAGAAGGACCAATGAAGTAATAAAAAAACTTATCAAGCCAAAGCCATTGTATAGGTTAAACAATTTATCCATATTTTTACTATTGAGTTTCCAGAATGCAACTCCACTTAAAAACAAGAATCTCCCCCCCCAGTCCATAGATATTTTGAATTCCAGATCTGTTCAGTTAACAATAGGCTTCTTTTCCTGGCTGCCCTGCCCCTGTACTCCATCCTTCCTTCCTTTTCTTTTTTATGGATCATCTGCAGGCAAAATTATGTTCGTAGCGACACCCTGCCATTTCTTTTTGGTCTGCAGTGATGCAGTTTGGAGAAATCTAATAAATTCTTTTAGTATTTGTAAAGATGAATAGCATCTGCTATAAATCTGTTATTTGTGTAGGTTTGACAAGGCCACTGGAGTAAGTATACAACATTATTTAAATCAGGGGCTGTGGCATTTGGACCATTCTCTGCAGGTGCTGTGGGAGAGAGTGGTAAATTGTTTTAAATTGGAGCTTATGAAAGTGTAGGATTTTTTTGCTATCCTAGAGATAGAAAATCAATCTTTCATATTGTATGTGGAGTCCTTTCCAAGGTACATGTGCGTAGAGGGGCTTAAAGGAGATTGAATTTGGTTTTTTTTTACATCCTGTTCATATTATATGAATCCTAAGCAATAAAACTTTCTCTGATCACCTGAAGGCTTCTGAAAAAATTATTTCCTTCGGTCATGCTCCCCCACTGCACATACATCTACACTCCTGATGTAAAGTCTGCCTGATGTTTTATCTTTGTGCGCGTGTGTACGTTCCTAGGAAGCCTGCAAATTATCATGGCCAGAGAAAGAATATAGGTTTGGGTGTTCTGTGGTTCTCAGAGAGATTCAAAATCTCTTACGTCCCCAGTATTAAATGTCCCCAGTTAGATCTTACATTTTGGGTGAGAAGAGATGTCCTCCTGTTGTCTAGATTAATAGAAGACCATTAGGTTTTCTTTTCCCTGTTCTCTAGTGTGGGGTGTGGGGGACACGCAGGGTCATCAGCAAGTTTTCTTTGACAAATTCCTCACTACAACAAGGACCAAGGTTATGATGATGCCCTTAAACTCTCCTGCTCATCAAGGCGCGTAATGGTTGTATCTTTTAGCCTTTTTCTGGAGGTTTTTCATTTGGAATTGGATGTTTGGAAGGGTTTTGCGTCTGGAATGATAATGCTCCATGACCTTTCAAACTAACATTTATTACATGTTTACCTGTAATTATATGGGACTGGGCTTAGTAAGGCGGCCTTGTGCCATGGTCATACGTAGAATGAAGCATGGGTCCACACCACAGTAGCTTTCCCAAGCAGGATACTGAGAGTTAGAGCAATAATACAGAACATACATAGCTAGAGTTTTCACAGATTACCTAATTGAAATTTAAGTCCGTTCTCACTTTACGATGTAAGTAGTGTCAGATCCCTGTACTTGTGGAGTTTAGCTCTGATTTTTATTAAATAGTCCAGCTGGTTAATTAGAATGAAGTATGTTTTGAATGGGTTTGCACTTTTTTATTTTTGTGTTTAATATTGATTAGCTTTCCTGACATAACATAAACTTGAGTTCATAAACTACAAATTAGGAACTGACATAAACAAAGTAGACGGGTATGTCCAGAGTGTCCAGTGAAGGTTTTTATTTGTATTATAAGGTGACTCTATTTTAATGACCCTAAATTAGGAATTGGAGTTAGCCCACTTTACTTAAAAGCAAGCTGGAAATAGGCAAAACATTTAAGCATGCACATGCAGCAAAACATTAAACTCTTGATTTTGGGATTCTTCAAATCACTGGATTGTGGTTATTTTAAGAAATTTATTGTATCCATGTTTCCGTTCCTTCAGCCAGACTTAGAAACAGAATGGTATCACACATACATTTTTTTGTAAGTTAGAAAATCCTTAGATTGTTCCTTAGAGCTTATGAAAAAAATTAACAGGTTTCATAAAACGTTTTGTAGATCTTCAGTTGAAAGGGAGAGTACTTTTAACTGTCTGAGGATTGATGACATCTGATAAATATAATTGGTTTCCTGGATAAGTTGTTGACTTGAGGTTTGGGGGTTTTTTGGCTTTGTTTTGTTTTGTCTGTCTCTACCTCTGTCCTTGCTCTGAGACTTGGCAATAGCAGGTGACTAGGGGCCAGAATAGGAGCTGAGAAGGAATCCAGTGACGATTCCCAGATTCTCACCTTGCTTCCAGCAAATTGTATTTCAGGAATACAGTGAAAGAAGAGGTGGTGTATAGTCTTTTTGGATGAGTCAAAGGTTTGTTCTGAGCTTGAACACTGATGATGACATGGGGACTGCTATGCTGGGAAGCTTCCTACATGCTGTTCATTAAGGAAAAAGACACAGAGCCCAAAATTTCATCACAGAAGTAAAGGCTCAGTACTACTGAAAGTAATGAGTGCATAAGACTAATGTTAAAGAATCATCCTTATTTTTAATATTTGCTAACCAATCATGTTCTATAAAATGAACATCAAAGAAAGACAAGGTTCATGCACTAGATCCAGTCAACAGTGTTCTTTTAATCTGTTAGTTAATGGAGATGAGCGTGTGTTTACAGAGACTTGCTAAGAGACCGGATGCTTTTTGTTTTGTATAATCTTTATCTGTTCACACTCAAAAACTTTAAAAGTTTTCCATTTGATTCTGAAGGTAATGAAGTGGTGAATATTTTTCAGGGGTATGAAAGAGCATATAATTTAATAAACCCTAAACTCTTCTAAGCAAAAATAAGCCCTTCATTTTTTCTATGTTAAATGTGGTATGGAGAGGAATTATATAAAGGGAGTCCGGCTGACTTTGTTCTGTACTCGTTGGTCTTTGAAAGATTAGGAAAAAAAAACAACTGTTTCCATAAGATGCAGTTATTTGTTAGCTTGGTCTTTGAAAGATTAGGAAAAAAAAGCATCTGTTTCCATAAGATGCAGTTATTTGTTAGATTGCCTTTTTTCTTGAGATAATCGAATGAATGAGTTAGGAAGGCAAATTCTTGAGGGCATAGAAACTTTGTTGGTAAATCACTTCTATGGTCTAATTTCACTGAACTTGTGAAATGCACAGTAATGAAACATGGCTAATAAGTAATTTACTTTTATTTCTCTAGACACTGGAAGCCATTTTGAATTTTAAGTACTCTGGTGGACCAGGACATGTTGAAGGATATTACAGGAACCTTTCACTAGGCCTTCATGTAGAAGTAGAGCCATCTGTTTTCTTTACACGTGTCAGCACCCTTCCAGCAACAAGGTAAGCCTTGTTTTGACTCTTGTCTATTTGACTCATTGTCTCTATTATATTGGCTATAACTTAAAGACCATGCTGGAAACTTTCAATATCATCATCAACATGTAGGTAAAGAATTATATGGACAAATTTTCAAAATTCCTCATTTAGGAGTTTAGCTTCTTTTAACTGCAGGCTATGATTAAAGCAACCCATGTGCATTGGATAATTTCTGAGGTTCAAACATTTTTTCATGATGGTTTATTTTACCAGGGACAGGAATCTCTTGTTTATTGTAAAATTTGATGACTTCTTCCTATATTTCTTCGCTGTTGTGGTATGTTGTGCATTACATTGTTTCGTGTTTGTCTAACAGAATCTTACCCAAAATGCTTGTGTAAATGGTTGTCTTTGGATGTGAGGAATAAATTGTAATCATTCTCTCCTTTGGTGCTTACTTTCTCTTGTAAGCCACAGAGTAGTTTCGCATATTGTAGTGAGTTTTAAAAATCATGGCAACACGTAATGGTGATCAAATGCCGTAATTACTAAAATCTGATTGCCTAAAATTCATCAGCAACTAAGTAGAATAAGTTTTCATAATTATTTGATAAATATTGTTTATCAAATAATTTTTGATAACATTGTCTTTATTTGCTGCTAAATACACAGTTCCTATTCTGTATGTTTTTATCCAATTTATATTGCTTTACGTACTGCTTAAGCAAAGCAGCTTTTACAAAAATGAATTCTGTAAGTTAATGATTTTACCGATCCTTAATCAACAATGTTTTGTTAATGTAAGTTCACCTATGCTAGTAGTTAAATACTCTACAATCTTTAAATATTTGGGATGTATTCAAACTTCCGCAATTCCAGAGGTGGCCTTTGAGTAGCTGTCATTCAAAAGATGAATAAATGAGCTTGGGTTTGTTGGGAAGAAAGAAGATTGAGAATGGACTTTGTTTCAGTGCATAAGTACTTCTGAGGTATAAATATCAAGGAGGAGGAAATACTCTTTTAGATGAAGGATGAAGTTAGTGCAAGAAAAAATTGTTACAAATTGGACAGGAATATGCTTTTATTAAAAATTCCTTTGTAATAATCAGCTACCAACTACCAAAGTAGTGGGATTATTGAAAAGAAAGCCAGTGTGCATAGTGGGAGCAAGCATTTTGCTTGGTTTAAAGTCTGAAATTATTTCAGTGCAATTATGTAATACTACTACTAATAATAGTTGAGAGTTAATTGATCCAAGAGATTCCTACTGGTCCTAGGACCTTTTTCATGACAGACTTCAGAAATAAAACCCAAAGATAGGCAAGAAGGGAGTATAAGTCTAGGAGATATTTGGAACATACTTCATTTTCAAAGGAAAGAAATGAGTCACCAGTATCATACCATTGCAAAAATGTCAAAGGATGGATGGACAGGAACACAGCTTGCAAAACATGAAGTGTTTCTTTTGTTCCTGTGAAAAAAAGAAGTAAAGCCTCAAGAAAAGTTACCATATCTAGTTTGGGGCTTGAACGTGGAGAAACGTGAAGAAAAGTGGACAAGTTGGAGAAAGTCTAGAGTGAGAAGAGTGATAAAATATGACTTTTTAAAAGAATTTAAAGAAATTCTTGGTCTTGCTGAAGCCGAAGAGAGGACTGATAGAGGACTTAAGTTTTCAATTACATAAATGGCACTGCCAAGAGGATAGGTATCTGTTTTTTACAGCAGGTAATACAGTAAATAATGACCTTCGCATATAGCAAGGGAATTTTAGGTTAGGCAAAGATAACGAAACACTGGAATAGTTTTTGTAAAAAAAGTTTAAAAATGAGACAAACAAGATTGTCGCAAACTGATTTTTTTTTAATGATAAGATTGTGTCCAGCTCTTATAACAGAGACCTAAAACTATATGGCTTTATTGGTAAGCAGGTTTGTCAAGCATTTTGCTGCTTGAAAGTGTAGCATAATAGGCATCATTTTATCCTTTTAGGAACTGCTCTAGTAAAGTAAATCTAATCATAGACTCATAGAACAGTTTGGGTTGGAAGGGACCTCTAAAGATCATCTAGTCCAACCCCCCTGCCGTGGGCAGGGACATCTTCAACTACATCAGGTTGCTCAGAGCCCCGTCCAACCTGACCTTGAATGTTTCCAGGGATGGGGCATCCACCACCTCTCTGGGCAACCTGTGCCAGTGTTTCACCACCCTCAGCGTAAACAATTTCTTCCTTATATCTAGTCTCAATCTACCCTCTTTTAGTTTAAAGCCATTCCCCCTTGTCCTGTCGCAACAGGCCCTGCTAAAAAGTTTGTCCACATCTTTCTTATAAGCCCCCTTTAAGTACTAAAAGGCCGCAATAAGGTCTTCCCGAAGCCTTCTCTTCTGCAGGCTGAACAACCCCAACTCTCTCAGCCTTTTTTCATAGGAGAGGTGTTCCATCCCTCTGATCATTTTTCTGGCCCTCCTCTTGGACCCGCTCCAACAGCAACAGGTCCGTGTCTTTCCTGTGCTGAGGGCTCCAGAGCTGGATGCAGTACTCCAGGTGGGGTCTCAGCAGAGGCAGAGTAGAGGGGCAGAATCACCTCCCTAATGCTACCTGCGAAGTCAGAACACAGTATCTAGAACAGCTGTTTGCAAAATCCCAGGAACCTTATTAATGATGTTCAGAGTTTCATCCCTGCAATGGCACATTCTTAGGCCTTTGTAAGGTTTTCAAGGTTTAATAAGCAATCTCTATCAGCCTGGAAGTACCGCAGCATCTACTTTAAATAGTTTTCAAGAAGATTCATTATAGAGGTTAAAATACTCAGTTTGCATTTATTATTTGCATGCATAGTCCTCTTCATTCAGTGTCAAAAATGTCCTTTGTACTCTGTCTATGTATACTTCTAAATGGACGGCACGACTGCTCTTTGGTTCACTGCAATTACTTTCCTACAGTCACAGAGCAGCTTGAGTGTGAAGCTGCGAACCTTCCATAAAAGCTTCAAATACAACATGATGCTTTTATTTGAAACTCTCTTGTTGGTAAGCTGGCTTTTTGTGCTAGATTTTCCTGGCTGTGTTTTGTGTAAGACAAGGTTATCCTACTCCTGCCTTGTCAATCTATTCTTAGGAATTTACTATGTGAGGAAAGTATTTAATCCTGAAGTCTTTAAAAATAGATTGAGGCGCTAATTCAAAGGTAGCGTTTCTGAGTTGTTCAGCTGTGTAGTTTCACAAGTCTTATAGCAGCAGGTGCTATATATAGTGTCTCCAATTCAGCCCAGTGCTTCAGCTCATATTGTATGCATTTGCTTCATTCTTTCCCTGTTCATCATACTGATCAGCATTTAAGTCAGTGTAAACTTTATTTTAAATGATTTGCTGATTGGAGATGTAGTTAAAAATATGACTGCTTTTAATTAGGGTGCCAAAAAGCTTTAGTGAGTTGGGGGAAAATACTGTAATAGTTAAATTTCTTTCAGAAATGTTTTATTGCAAGACCTGTCAAAAGACTATTCAAATCTTTTTTTTCTTACATTAGGTATGTATTGTCTGCTAAGTCATGAATGCATTTTGTTTTTAAGTGCTTCTTATCTCTTGCTGCTTGTTCTATACTATTAGCTTTAGTGATCAGTAGCAGCATTCCTTTACTCCTGTGCTTCCTTGTGTTGATTCTCCATCAGAAGAAGTCATGTGTCATTCGATATTATATTTTAGAGTGAAAAATAGCAGAAATATGTCATCTTCCAATCTGCTACGGATAAATATTTGCCACTAAATGAAACAAAGTTTGTTTTTTGACTGTTGATCATCTCTGCCAATATCTGAGATTCGATGACAGCAAATTATAAGTCAAATTTTGTACTTTTACTTGCTCTGTTAAAGTCTTGAATCTGATTTCCTTTTGATTTACAGCTAGAGATTTCATTGCTTAAATTCTATCTGAGGCACTGAGCTATTTTTTTTTAGTCATTATGAGAAACTATTTTATAATTTACTTTCTCAGCTGTCATTTCAGAATGAAAGTTATCATTGCTTTCATTTTCTGGATTCATTTTTTTCCCTTTCTTTTATGTTTTTGCTGTTTTTATTTTACATTTTACCTCAACAAAAGTAAGAAACAATAGCTTACTAGCTGCTGGGCTTAAAAAGTCAAAGCAAAATAAAAAACTGGACATTTACTGAAAAAAAAACCAGGAAAAATGTTAATGAAATCACTCCCCTCCCCCCAGTTGTAAGATAAAGATTATGGTTTATGTCAAAGTCTTCCAAATGTAATTGGTATTTCTTTTATTTAGTTGCTTGAGCAGATATGCATGGGAAATATCACTGAAACAGCTGGGGATTCTGGTTTGGTTTTTGGTTTTTCTAAATATCTAGCCAAAATGATGTCTTCCATTCATGGACAGGTTTCTGCTTTATAGTGAGAAGTTTCATTAACTGCATCTTCAGTATATCTTAAGATGTGTTTAATCCTGCCAAGAGGTCCTTTTAACCTTTATCTGTGCTCGTCTGTAGAGGCATCCGTGGCTAGCTTGATGCAGCCCTTAACATGCTGCAGTGCCTAATCTGTTGCCTAATTCTGATTCAGATAGCAGCTCTGCTGTCGGAAGAGATGATGTTCTGTCAGTAAACGGACGTAATCTGCTCTGAGGTTTTTCACTGGGTATATCAACCTATGCTCACTCAGCTACCTGCATCCGAAAAGACTGGCAGAACAGCCTCGTGCTGGGAAATTGTTTGCCTCTGATCATGTTACCTGTAATCCTTGATTCTGCTTGTTTGTGCTTGCCTGGAGATGATTATGCATCACAGGACAATCAAGAATGTAGGTGTTTAAAGCAGCCCAGATATAGGGTATAAGAGATAATGAGTTAATGTTGAAAGTTTTCCCAGTCTGACCTACAGCTCACTGACCTGCAGATCACTGAAGTCTTAAAGGGCTTCAGGGATCTACCTGCTTGACTCTTTATTTACCATAAAATGCAGATAAATCTCTAGAGTTAAATTGTATTCATTGTCATCTGTAATCGAGCATA